TACTGTAACAATCCAGCCTAAAAGATGTTAATTGTCCAACACAGCTGAACAGACACGTAGGGATCTGAACCAACAGTCAACAGCAACTGGTGACGCAATGAAAGTATTATCAGACCATGATGATGATGATTGTAAAAAAAAATTGTCACTATCAAATATGAGATCACATTTCTTCATAAAACTCTGAAACTGTTCACTAACAAATATGAGATCACATTTCTTCATGAAACTCTGAAACTGTTCACTAACAAAATATGAGATCACATTTCTTCATGAAACTCTGAAACTGTTCACTAACAAAATATGAGATCACATTTCTTCATGAAACTCTCAGACTGTTCACTATCAAATTTGAGCTCACAACTGTTTATGTCATCTAGGAACTTTGGAGAAAAGTACACGAACAAATATGAGATCACTTTTCATCATAACACCCGAAAACTACTTTGAGAAAAGCCTGCTAACAAATACAAGCCCACATGTTGTAACATTCAAGATCTACTGAAAGAGAAATTTACTAACAAATACAAGAACATATTTCTGTGTAATCTTCCAGGAGAATAAGCTTTATAACAAGTGTAAGATTTGATATTTTCATAATACTAAAGAATTACTGTACGAACAGTTGCTTAATAAATACAGATCTCAATCATTCGTAACGGAATTATTGTAGGGACAGTTCGCTAGCAAATAAAAAATCACATTTTAAAATAAAATTCACGGACTATCACAGACATATTTTTGCTGGCAAATAAAGGACGTCAGTAATTCATAACTGGGAACTACTAAAGGTGCAGTTCACTAACATTACGAGATCACTTCTTTTTAATATACTCAGGAATTAAAAAAGGAAAATGTCACTAACAAAACAAAAATCACATTTCCTCAATGACCTTCAAGAACTACTACAGGAAAAAGCTCAAAACAAAATATGAGATTATATTATATTTTTAATACATAAGAACATCTGTGAGAAAAGATTGCTAATGAAAGATCACAATTCATAATTGTGAGCTACAGCAGAAAAAGTTGCTTTACAAATACTGTACAAGATCCCCTTTCCTAATTAACTGTATGTTTAGACATCCTATCACATTAGACAGACAAATTCATGTTCCATCCTCCGATGCAGCATTACACTCAAGAGCTACAACAGAAAAACTCAGCTAAAAAAAAGGCACACACAAAGACCAGAAATTTCTTCATACATCATGAACTTTCATTAAAACAAAGTCTACTCACAAACAGGAGATCTCAATAACTCCAAACACTGGGGAAACTACTGTAGCAAAAGCTCATTCAAAAATAAAAGATCAGATTTCTTCATTACACCCTGGAACAACTATGAGAACAACGTACTAATAAATATGAGATTGCATTTCTTAACAAATTGCCTTGTGGCAATATCTATGTGAAAAGCAAAATAGAATAAACCGTCAGTCCTATGTGATATTTACGACACAAGATGATAATGATGTGAAAAATAACATTTCCAGAAAATATGAACTGTATCTAGGTAAGTTAGTTGTGTATCCTTTACAGGAGGTCGCAGAACCAACCCCAGCATGTTTTGGCTGTTGTGGTTTTTCTAGGCAAATTTACATCCAGTAGTAAGTCATAAATTCTAAATAACAACGCTTTTCCTCCCAAGCAAGTCATTACGTGTCATTGACACTTATTTGTGCATCCAAAACACTAAATTATATTTTGCCCTACTTAGCGGTTTTTGGTTAAAGTACATAGAAGAAATCCTGGTTCTCCATTTATGTTTTATATCATCATCTATGAGCAAGTTCCTTTACAGAACGTCACTCCTTTCACGGCACGCCTTTAAGTATCCCTTTTTCTAGCCAGCTCTCTAGCCCCTGAGCTTTCAATGCCAATGGTATCTTCAATGTCTTGTATGCCATCATCACGGTGGTTGACCCTTGCCTCGCCTTCCACAAAACTGCACCGTCCATCACACGTCTTTCCAAGCCACCATGACGCTTGATGTGGCCAAAAATACTTCAACTTTTTGGACAGGATGCTGTTTATGAGCCAGTTCTTCTTGATGTTCAACTCGTTCAGAATGTCGATGTATTTTTCTTTTCCGGATCCACAGTATTCAGGAATTGAAGGGTATATATTTAGCATAATCTGAAAGTCCGATTTTTCAAAGTTTTTTCTTTCCGGGAAATATTATTGGAAACTAAAAAGTTAATAAATAACAAGTGTTACTGGTATGTAACTACTGCACATACACTACTGACTCTCATCAGATTGATTGTTGCCGTTCAGGGAGAGATTCATGTTTTTTATTTGCAGTGTCGTTTGTGGGAATGGTAAATGAATACTCCAGTTACACTCATCATGGCATTCTCGTTCCCCTTCAGAATGACATGACCCTTTTTTTGCACAACTACCTTTGACATTATTAACTTCAGAATTTATAAAAATTGTGACAATGATTTTAAATGCCCATTCAGTTTTTTAAAATCTGTTTGCCAACAAAGGTAACTTCCATTCTTTGTGGAGAGCTTTGTTTAGATATGAGAGAAATATCACCATTTAATAAGCCAGTCTCTTGACTGTAGCAGTTTGAGGATAAGTCAGGTTTGGAGCTACCACTGCGTTCTATTAGTGCTCTCTCTGGTGAAGTTACTGCAGGTGGTTGTGAAAAGAATGGATGCTGTGAGTACTTCAAACATTCAGGCTCTTTTAAATGTTCAACAGCATCAGCTATATCCTTGTGTATCGCAGCTATTAGAGAATCTGAGGAGAAACCAAGAAAACATTTGAATGACTTGAGTTTCTCTTTTTCAGGTCGTTTATTAATATCCTACCCCAAACTGGGAAAATGCACAGGTCACGGGACAGTCTTATACTTCAGAGGGTTTTAGATAGGCTGCACGCAGTCATGGTACCTAGGCTGCATGCATTCATGAAGCCTAGGCGGCACTTTCTCATGGGACGTAGGTAGGTTGTGTTCAGGGCCAGTTATAGATGTTTTAAGGCCGTTAAAAGCACCAGAAAGCTGGGAAACCCAGTCTTACCACCCTCTAATATGTTGGACTGTCCTGTGAAGTCATCTGGAGTAAGAAAGTAATAAAGAACTTTTTAAATATTTTTTTAACAGAAAAAAGCAACATCATAACACATCTAAATATGCTCTGTCTCTCACAGCAAATATCAAAATATTTCAAGGTCCAGACACTAATTCTTCCAGTAGCAGACTGGTTGTGAAACAAGTGCTACTCTTATATCTCCCCCTTTCTTTCTTCTTCTGCCATTTATCCTCCACTAGAGCACAGGCCTTACACCAACTCATGTCAAGCCGTTCCATCCCTTGCTAACTGCATGCTGCTCACCATGTCCTCTCTATCTTTTCACCATCACTATCTAGCTCCCTTATTCAAGTGTTTTTCGTCTGCTTTTATTTCTATGCCCCTGTGGGTTTCAGTGCAAAGACATTCTAGTTATTTTTATTGTTTTCAGGTGTTCCTAACATGTGTCCTTTCCTATACCACCATCTTCTTACCTCTTAATTCACTGCATTTTAGTTTAGTTCTCTCCCAAAGCTGAACATCAGTGACTCGTATTCTACTATAACATTTAATTCCCTTTTTCTGCACAGGTGTCAGTTAATGAATGTCTTTAGTTTATTAGCAATTATTTTTCTACTCCATGCAGCATAATGCTGTTATATGTTGTCCTTGATATCTTTCTGCCAATGTTATGTTCGCCCACTTCTTCTTCTAAGACCATGCCCTTGATTTCTGTTCTCTCAAAATCCTTATGTTGTTTAGTAAAGTGATGGGCCCTTTACAAACCAGTGGCACATTGGGCAAATATGAGGCTAGGCATTTTTTTTATAGAATCAGCCCACAATGGGTGGTGTGGTCAACATCACAGCGGGCACCTTAAATTCACCAGGACATTTATCTGGTGTCTGTTTAAGGCTGGGTCGACCTAGCAGCAAACGTCATGCTTGAACAAATCTGGCACCTTGTGGATTTTAACCTATAACCTGCCAGTGTGGGTTCTGGAGCTCTATTGTGGGGAAAACAAGAATAGACCCACTGTCTATCTAAAATCATGTCGTAAGAGTTGACTAGCTGGGAGCTTCTTTTGAAGTCAGAGTGCATCTACCTAAGAGGAGGCAAGGAACAAACAATATGCATACACATGGTCAGATCTGTAAAATGGATGCACACACAAAACTCAAGATTCTGGAACAGGACAGCAGTCAAGTAGTGGATGAACAGCCAGAATTTCCACCACAGTTAACAGCCGGTGAACGTGAAGAAGAAGTAGAACAAAGGGTCTTCTTATCCACAGGCGAAAATCTAGCAAATACACCACAGCAGCTTTGACCCAGCCTCTCTCTTTCGACTTCTACTGTCAAGTTTTTGCCAGAACCCAATACTCGCTTTTCAATTTAACTATTTTAAAAAGTTAACACTGCAGACTCGACACAACTTACCCAATGATTCAAAGTTACACATGGGCCTGATGTAGCCTAGAATGATGGTCTTTAGGTGCTGCCCGTAAAAATCGTGGTCAAACTTGTGAATGATGTGAGTTTCCTGTCACATGTTGAAATATACAAAAATAAGTATTATTCAGTATAAACCTGTTAACAAGTGAGAAAATTTGCTGAGACAATCGAGAATTCTTCTTTTTGTTCTTTGCGTTTGGTTTTGTGTGATCAGGTCAGATTGTCAGCTGGGCTGCCTCTATGAATTTGTATGTCAGATGCCGGTCCCTTGTGGTTCCCCATAGCTTGTTTTGCACAATTTGCTCTTGAGGCCATGTTTCTCTTTGTAGTTGTAGGTACAGTGGGCCGGTCTGCAGAATGTGCTCAGGTGTTTGTGGTCCCATCTGACATGCAAATTGTGGGGACTGCACAAACTTTCATTTTATGCAGGTTGCAGTGTCCTGTTCTTGAATAGAAAATTAACTAAGATCTTAGAAATGGCATACAGCACTCGAGGCACTCTCATAAATGATCTGTTTCCATCTTCAGCAGCCAGTGTAGTTACATTGCTAACGGTGTCAAAATGACTGCACAACTAACATATGTAATGATTTAGGCAGATTATGTCTTAAATTTCAGCTGCAGATTAGTTTTCAAGATCTGTGAGAGTCTCCAGTGGCAACATCAACCAACACAGAACATGAGTCCTACTAAGAAGCAAGCACACAAGAAAATCAGAGCATTTACAGATGTGCCCAATGCGCAATGTAGATTCAGTTCACCTGGAACCTACAGAGCAAAAAAAAAATGAGTAACCTAAATATACGTGGAGAAAAGGATACAATTCAGCAATAGATGTCTTTCCATGTGGGTCTCTGGGGAAACATTATAGACCCACTGGCTCCCTAACAAGCACTTTGTACAAGGCAACTAATTAGGGTGTTTCCTTCGAAGTTAAAAGTCTCTGTACCTAAGAGGTGATGAACCAACAATCTGCATACAAGTAAGTCATAACTGTAAAATATCTGTGCATGCAAAACTAAAGTTCTAGAAAAAGAAAGTTATTTTTGCATTCATTATTAATCACTCACTCGCAGCATCAAACAAGATGCCAACAGTGAAAAACAGCAGACAGCTAGCTAATGAACCACAAACATACAGCATTTGTACATTTCCATAAGTGATTTACGTTTTCCATCAGTGTTTGTCAGTGTGGTCAAAATGGGATATACTTAAAAAACGCACCTCGTATTTGCTCACTAGTCATCCAACTGTCCATAATTCACTTCAATATAACATCACAGGATTTATATGGCTCTTAAAAATTATCTTTCTCATCCCAACTCACAAAGCAAGATTGCAAAGAATTCTTCATTTTATGAAATACTACCTTTGACTGAACTATTCAGGAAAAAGACATACTCTAGTTATCTGAACACAAACAAAAAAAAGAAAGACATACCATAGTTTTCACTGTGTTGTGATAGTATGGGTTCCAGCCAACACACAACACCATCTGATAAATATTCTCGTCATTGTTGATCTTTGCCCACCCATAATACACGCCACATTCAAAGTCTGCAGGCAGCTTCTGGATCACATCGTCCGGAAAATTGGCTGCAAAACAAATGAGAGCAAAAATATTGTTGCAGTACAGAGTTCAAACATGGAGAACAACAAATACATTACCAATAAACTACAAACATTTATTAACAATTCCCATTATTTTGCCTCAGTTAACAGAGCAGGTAAGCTGTCAGAACTCGATAGAACACAGCTCTCTCAGTTGAAGAAACAAGAGAGAGCTCCAACAGCCAGCGACTCCCTTTTTGAAAATGAATTTAGCATGGATGAATTAGAGCAAGCCCTGAAGAAATTAAAACCTAGAAAATCTCCAGGCCCAGATAAGATCCACAACGAAATGCTGCTACATCTTGGCCGGTCTGGGAGAGAAGTAGTTCCTCAGGTCTTATTAATAAAACTTGGAGGTCAAGCAAACTTCCAAGGGCATGGAGGAATGCATATATCGTCCCCATCCTTAAAACAAAAAGCCTCCAGATGACCCCAAAAGCTACCGCCCGATATCCTTAACATCATGCTTGGGCAAAGTTGCAGAAAGAATGATAAACAGGGCGCTTATATTGGTTCCTTGAGAGTTCTGGTGTTCTATGCCATGAACAGGCAGGCTTCAGAACCAACAGCTGCACAGAAGACCAGCTGTTTTCAGACTGACACAAAGAATACACGATGGCTTCCAGAATAAGAAACACACAGTGGCAGTCTTTGTCGACCTCCAGCAGGCCTATGACAGAGTATGGAGAAAAGGTCTCCTGATGAAGATGATGAGCATAGGAATACATGGCAGATTGTATAAACTGGGTGAAATACTTCCTGATAGATAGAACAATCCAGACTAAGATGCACAACGCAATCTCTTCTAAAGAAGTCTTGGAGGAGGGCTTGCCACAAAGCTCATCATTGAGCTGTACACTATTCCTAATCTTTATCAATGACCTGCCAGAACAAATCAAGGCCGAAAAAGCCTTGTACGCTGATGACCTAGCAATATGGCAGAGTCATGAAAATGTGGAAAGTGGAGCCCAAAGACTGAATGGAGACCTTAGAAGACTGCATGATTACTGCCAAAGATGGAAACTCAAGATTAACTGTGCAAAGACGGTCTACACAATCTTTACCAAAAGCCACCAAGTAGCAAGGAAGAATATTAACCTGAGGTTAGGACAAACACCAAGTGATGAAAGAAGAGCATCCCACATACCTTGGAGTCACCACTTGACCCGCAGCTCAGCCTCAAGAACCATATTGAAAACATCAGGAATAAGGCATTGAGGCGGTTACAGTTATTAAAGAGACTTGCAGGTACATCATGGGGATCAGACAAGGAAACTCTGAGGGGCTTATACCTAGGATATGTTCGCTCTGTGATAGAGTACAACAACTCACTGCTTACAACTTGTTCCAAAACTAACCTAGAGACTCTTGACAGAGTACAAAATAATGCCCTCCGATTAATCTGCGGAGCTATGCAGTCTACACCAACTGCTGCATGTGAAATCCATACAAATGTGGAACCCCTCGGGTGCGGAGAGAAAAAGCCACTTTAGAAATTTATGAAAGATGCGTTAGGAAAAATCGTAACCATCCTAATAGACATCTTGTAGAAAACTGGGAATCCAAACAAAGAATAAAGCACAAATCGGTTTTACAACTGTGTAAATGAAAATTCAGGACAGATACCACCTCCCAGAAAGACGTCAAGGAATTTCAGAATGTTGCAAAAAACCTACCACCACATGCTCGCTTTAAAGCTCCAGAAGTCCAAACTAATTGGTAGGCGAGGAAACCAAACAGTCCGACCCAATCGCTCTTATGAACTCATCACTAAAGACCGTTGATTCTTACCCCCAAGAATGGAGACATGTCTATACTGATGGATCAGCATTTAAAGCTACCATTAAAGCAGGTTACGGAATCTACATAGGTTATCCCGATGGATCTGTGAAGAGATTTTTGATGCATGCGGGGAATTCTGTTCAAACTATGAAGCTGAAATAATTTGCACTGGAAACAGCAGTATACCACCTAAAGACTGTAATGGATGTTTACCCCTCAAAGGTCCAAAATATTGTCATCTTCACAGATTCAATGTCTGCCCTTCAAGCTCTGGAGGGCATGAACGCTGCAGAACTGACATAGCCAAGATAATCCTGGATGCCGATCATCTTATTACCTCATACAACATCAGAATAGTGATGCAGTGGATTCCAGGTCAACTCCGGCACACCAGGGTAATGACAGAGCTGACAGATTGGCAAAGAAAGGAGCAACAACAAGAACAACCACCTACAGCGACAACCCTCCAGACAGTAAAAAACACTGATAAGAGCTATAAAACAAAGAGACTTGGTTGAACAGATGGGCCATGGGAGACACTGGAAGAGAGGTTTATAGACATATGTCTGGCCCTGATCCTAATGACAGCATTAACCATCTAACAAGAAGGGACCAGGCCACCATCTTCAGACTTAGAACGCAACATACTCCACTCAATGGACACCCTAAACAGAATACAGCCACAACACTCCCCAGAGTGCCAGCTATGTAACTACCCCTACGAAACTGTTGAACACCATCTCTTTGAGTGCCCAAAACTCAGTGAGACAAGAAGAACGCTACTCCCTCCGAGACCAGACAAGTGGAACACCTTGTACGGAGGAAAAGAACAGCTTGTGAAAACATGCAAATTCCACTACATGGCATTGGGCCAAAGGGCGAAAGCTCATGCGCCGCTGGATCGATAACAACAACAACAACAACAATTCCTTCATAGAATACAGAGGATTAATATGAAAGAATCACTAATGTGGAGCTTTGGAAAGAACCAGTCCCAATGAATCAAGAGGTGAGGTAAATAAGCTGGCAGTGAATAGGACATACTGAGAATACCAAGCATTTGAATAAATGCATTTAAAAAAAAAATCACACACACACACAGAGCAGAGAATATGAGAAAGATGAGACATAGGGATTAGCTACATGCTGTAACTGTATGGGTTCAAGGACCCATTGTGGGAGAACAAGAACAAACCCACTGCCCACCTACAAGCATGGGTTAAGAGGTGTGCAACTCAGAGTGCACCTGCCGGAGAGGCGAGGAACCAAGAGTCTACATTGAAATGAGCCAAATCTGTAAAATGGATATGTAATGCAAAACTCTAATTCTGGAACAAGACAAAAGTCTGGATGTGAACAAACAGAACTTTCCACCACAGTTTACAGCCAGTGAAGAAGCTACATGTAACAGCAAAGGTCTGAACTACTTGGTAGTGGTTGGTCAAGGGCCTAGGCTCCACTGGCGGAATAAAGGCCAGAAGAAGAAATAACAATAGCAATAAGAGAAGAACCCGACAACCTTCTGAGCATCAAGGCGAATAGGCTCATAAACAGCATCCTGTGACAAAAGCTGAGATATTTTGGCCAATTCAACCGTCATGGTGGCCTTGAGAGAATGGTGGTGCAGGGTACAGTTTCTGGATAATGAAGCAGAGGAAGACCTCTGTGAACATGGATAGAAGACATTTAAGGTGCAGTGGCTATAAAAGCATACAGGACTGAAGAACTGGCTAGGGAAAGACAGGCTTTCAGGCGTGCCATGACGAGAGCAACATACACCTGTAGGAGTGACAAGAAGAGATAAAATCAGGAATGAGGTCATGCAAGATTAAGTCGGCACAGAACCAATTCTAAATCACATAGATAAAATAACAAATCAAATGGTTTGCCCACTTTGAGAGGCCTTCTGATGCTATATCATTCAAGGCATATACCAAAAGAGGAGAGGGACGTAGAGCAAGAACAAGATGGAAGGATAACATCAAAGAAACTCTACAGTGCCACGATGTGTACTTGTTCGAAGCAGGACCTTATATCTCTCTTAACACCTGAAACGGTAAAAGAGGATGTAAATCAGACGATGATAACCATTCAGCCGACAAACTAAGGAACGTTGTGTGCGCATAAGAATTGAAGAAGCAACATAAAAAATGCATCTTACAATTCATACTTGGTACTAATGTGTACAGTAGCAACTCAAAACAGCACTAACAGTAGTACTAAGAATAATAATTTTAAAAGAAGTAAAAACAGTAGTGTGTAAAAGTAGTAATACTAAGCAGTAATAGTAGTATTTAAATGCCGCAATACTTAAAACTAGCAGTGCTAGTTCATTTCTGGGATAAAATGATACAAGAAATAGTAGTGTTCTAATAAGAATTTAGGTTAAGGTACAACAGATAAAGAATGTGTACAGCCTGTACCTTGGTACAAATTTATCTGAATAATTGTTCCAATTGTGACAATCAGCATGTGATAATCCGTGGTAAACTACAAACACAGGATAATCAATTGTATAACTGTCAGGCCAGTTCTAGTTAAAATTTTAAATCTTCAGTTAAGCCAAGAACTGAAATCCTTATAGGACATTCTCAAATCTGTTTCATGCCCTTCTTGAGTAGTTAAATAAGGGTTCCCATGATAATGATGGAAATAGCAGCTAGATTCAAAATATGACCGTCTTTTTCCTAACGAGTGTTGTCCAAATCTCACTGAATCATTCCCCAGGTAAGGATGTTCTGCTGCTCTGTTCCTGATCTTTGAGTGCTCAAACCATGCCTGCTTTATCAAAAGATAGATTCCTGCCACAAGAGTATCAGTAGCCAGTATTTCAGCATGCTCATTTCCCTGTACAACTGTTTATCATCGTCATCCTTTGTGTGCCATTAGACCTCATACATCGATCACATCTGATTCTTCCACGCTGCTCTACTGCATGCAACTTTTGATTTCTGACAAAGAGTTCAGCCCAGAATTGTTTGCCTTTCGTAATAATGTTCTTCTTAATGTTTCCCGGTGTGGATTGGGGCTAAACTAGATGGCTAGGACTCACGAGCAAAGCTGCAGGAGATGCGGAAGCTGCTACTTGTGAGTCCCAGCCATCTAGTTTAGTCCCAATCCACACAGCCGCGAGCGGCGCGGGAGATATTCTCGGCGGTGTCGGTAGTCGCCGGAAAACCGCAAATTAAGTCGCTGGAAGTGCG